AAATTTCCCAGGCTCCAGGTATCTGCAGGGTGTTTGGTAAATTGCTCTCCTCAAATTCTAGGTCATCTTTTACATATCCTAGTATCTACCATTGAATTTAAGGGATTATTCAAGTCAACTCTTCCTCAATGCAGTGATCTTGTCCCTTTGAATCAAATTCTCACATGCCATTGTTTAAGAGCATCCCATTGCACCTCTGTGCAGGTTCACACACCTAAAGGAAACCAGAAATATTTACCCTAAAATATACCTCTTTGACATCTTTTGAGAGAGCTATTCAAAGGGCCTGCAGATCGGACTAATGCTTGCCAAGCTGCCTTCTGTGGAGGAGATTTGCATCTATAGAGGAAAATCCAAGTAAGGGAAATAAACAGGCTTTCTTTGAGGCCCCTCGCTTGTCCAGATGTAGGAAAGATTAACTCAACCACAGGCTACCATCTATTCTTTCTGAGAGCTACCAATGAGATTTTGTCTACATAATAAGACTGCTCTTGCTAGCCATGCCTTTCCTCTTCTCTCCCTCCCATAAACTGTCTTGCCACACTCCAAGCCCCCATTCTTTCTATAAGCTCAAGATGGTATAAAATAGTCAACCATCTGGCCCTTCCTTTGAGTTTTCACATTTTGTATGACTCCTGTGCACACATGTGGATATTAACAAATTCATATGCCTTTTCTCCTATTAATCTGCCTTTTGTCAGTTGATTTTCAGCAAACATTCAGAGGGTGAAGGGGAAGGTTTCCCTTGGCCTCTACATGCCCCAAGTCACTCGTAAATCTCATGGAGTGCTTTGATGTAAGACACATACTGGATCATTTGAGTGGCTCCTATGCTTTATGTAATTGTACATTCTTTTGTAGTCCAATACATTTTCATGGCTGCAGTTCAATATATGATCAAACTGTTTTTGAAAAACACATTTCACAATATGGATATGTTCCCTTTTCCCTTTTAGTAGTGGTAGAGATCAAACTTTGCAATACTTGAAATATTAATTTGATGATAACCAAACTAATGAACATTGCAGAACTCATTCCCCGCTGAGCTGTGGTTCTCTTTCTAAAGACAGAAAGAAATGTCAGTTACAGTTTTGCCCCATATATTTGATACAAAAACAGCTGATGAGCTCACAGTACACATACTATCAAAAAGTGTACCTATCTCCAGAGGAGACCAAGTTTAAGGCCCTGAAGATTTGAATCTCTTCTCTGAACAGGTGTCAACCAATCTGGGGGCACATTTACAAATGGCATCCTGCTGTCAGCTCATGACGCCTGGTTGTTTTTTCTAATCTTCATGGGAAAGGTTTCATCCATTGGGATAATTGTAGCTTTTTAACACATTTCACTATAATTAGTGAATCTGCATGTCAGTATATTCTAGCATATTCCCTGATTGAATTGGAGACCGTTTTAGTTCTCCCCATGACCCGTCAAAGATAAAGAATTTGTTTACTGTAAATTGCACACCACTCACTCCTATATGCCATCTGCCACACTTAACTGCACACTGCTACAATTTTCTAATAGCTCTTTGAACTTAAGAAAAATAGTCAGAGGTGTTAATCATATATGCTAGGGGAATATTTACCTCTCTATACCAACCTTTTTCTTCTTGGTGGGATTTTCATTTTAGTGTATTAAGATGACATTGTATTTCTATCAAATAACGTACAGCAAAGCAGGGTTTAGAGATTCCCCCTAGTGGCTGCCATCTAACATTTGTGAGAGGAGCACTTGCAAGAAAGGGTAGAAAGTTTTATTATACTTCAGAGGAGTTTAGATTTTTAACATGGCTCTTTATGGTCAGGTCACAGGTTATTTCTGCACAGTTTACCACTGGAGCCATCTCACCTCCTCGTTTACTGTTTTCTCCTCTTTCCTTCCTCTTTTATAAAAACTTTGGGTAAAGAGAAAATCTATATGCCATGTTCTTGACTTATTTCTCACACTGTTTGTTATTCCAAATGGTTTTTCTTAGCTGCCATTTTGGAAAGGGTAATAAAGTTACTTTAATGCATTATTAACCGATAGACCTTGAATGGTAATTGAATGTTCCTATAGAACAAGGTCTTCCTTCAAAGAAAAGAATTGCTGAAATTTACCTACCAATGGTGACTCTGGATGGGTGGTAGATGGCCTCATTGGTTAGAAGTGCTCAGTGGCCCTGATACTGTAATAGCTGCCTTCAAATGAGGTATCTGTTCTTGTGGAATCAGAATGATTCATTTTTTCTTTATAAAATAAAACAAAACAATAACAATAAAACCACTACCCTTCAACAAAGTATTGCACTTCATTGCTCCTTGAGAGTTTTGTTTTTTTCATTAGGATAATCTTAGAGTATACTGCATGATGGAGGAAAGCCAGCTGGCTAGACTTGAAGGACAGGTTGAATCTCTTTTTCAACATTTAATATTTATGTTCTCACATATATACCCAAACATTTGAGGATATCGATGTTACAACTTTCGGTTGTTATCTCTGAGTCATTGCACTGCCAGAGCCCTCATTTAACTAACTGTGATGAAAGAACATCATAGATCATCTGCCCTGCAGAGGACAAGCTGTAAACTTTTCCTTTGAAATTTATCTTTTGTACTTTGATATTTTCGTTACCAAATGTTCCCTGTGTTTTATAAGCTTGTGGATATCATGGAATTGCATTTGTATTTACGACCAAATTTCAATGACTTTTAAACCTCACCCAGTTTACTTGCAAGGTTCCTTTTCCCAATTTTTTTCTGAGACTTACTGGGACCTGCTTACACGTAACCATGAGTCAGTTATTTTAGAAGAAACAGAAATTCAGAACTTTGGTGTGGATCCTACTGAAGCTGATACCCAGATAACCTTATCTGTCAGGTACGTCCAGTCAGGTGCTTACCGGTTCATTGAAGCCCAATCTCCTGAAGTCACTGTGAGCAGCCTCAAGTGCCCCAGGAGATTCACAGAGATATGGCTTACTTAAAATTTCTCTTTCTCCCAGTCCTTTCGCTTCTCTTGCTGATTTCATCACTATCACCACTATCTTTTGCACTGGTTTTGTCCACCCATGAGGTTTCATCTCAGTGATGAGGGGAACATGTCTTTCCTCAGCACAGCACTCAGGAGGGAGAGACCTCGGATAAAACTACTTGGGCCCTAATTTTTTATCAATTACAATAGTTTCACTCTCTGGATACTATTGTAGTCAGTTCAGGATGCTATAACAAAATACTGTAGATGGATGGCTTATAAACAACATAAATTTATTTCTTATACTGCTGGAGGCTGGAATTTCAAGTTCAGGGTTCCAGCATGGTTGAGTTCTGTTGAGGGGCCTCTTCAGGTCTGCAAGTTGCAGACTTCTACCTTCTTGATCCATCCTCATATGGTGGAAAGAGGACTAGAGAGCTCTATGGGGTCCCTTTTCTCACCAATCCTATTCATGAGGGCTCTACCCTCATAGCCAAATTACCTCCCAAAGGCCCCACCTCCTAATACCATCACCTAGGTGGCTAGGACTTCAGCATATGAATTTTGGGGGAACACAAACAGTCTCTTGCAAATGCAAGTATATAGAGCCATTTCTCCAGACACACAGTGCAAAAGTGATTTAATAAGGATGAGTTTCAAGTCTGACCAAATACGGGATCCAGAAGCAACATGCCTGTCTGGAACACAGGTCAAAACCCCTTCTGTATTATGGCAAACTTTCAGCTGGAAACCCTTATTGTCCTTTTTGGTAAAAAGACATATATATATATGTCTTTTTACATATATATATGTCTTTTTACATATATATATGTCTTTTTACACACACACACACATATATATATATATGCCATAGGTTTGTATTCCTGTTGAGAGGCCCCAAGCTTAAGAAGTTTCCGGTATTATAAAGGAGGCTGTTGGCATATATATATACACACACATATACACACACACACACATATATATATATAAACCTCCTGAGTATCTGGGATTACAGGTGACTGCTACCATACCTGGCTAATTTTTATATTTTTAGTACAGAAGGGGTTTCATCATTTTGGCCAGTCTGGTCTCGAACTCCTGACCTCAAATGATCCACCCACCTTGGCCTTCCAAAGTGCTGGGATTACAGGTATGAGCCACTGCACCCGGCTGGACATAGTTTTATATTTTGAACTTTAGTGTTGATGGTGGTTTAAGTGGAGAAGAGGAGTCATAGTTCATGTCCTTTATCTTCCACGAGACTCCTGTTCCCTATATAAGTAAGTGGCATTAAATATATATATGTTGAAAGAGGATTTTTTTCCTGCTCTTCCTCTTGAGCCACACCAAGCCATTGGGGGAAGGAATGGCATCTCATTTCTATCACTAATTACATATAAGTCAGATTTTTACTCAAGCAAAACCCCATGTAAATTTTTATGTTATCTGTGATAAAATATTGGAGATACTCAGAATTAATGCATTCATTTTGCTGGTGTATGTCAAATTAAATTTCTGATATGAAAATGGAATGACAATGTGAAAGCTGGGGTTAAGATCGTACTTGTCATGTAAAGAATATATATGGGCAATAGTTTTTTCAAACTTGAAATAATAACATTAACTCACCTTAATGAAAAGGTACATGAATTTGAGTAATAAAAAGATCTGAAAATTATGTCATGGTGTTTCCTGGCTCCTTTTCCTCTTCTTTAACTATGTTCTCATATTTTTATTCAACTAATGTCTATTTTAATTAGGTTGGGTATTGAATATACCTGGATGAATTAGATACAATCCTTCCTCTTGAGAAGGTCATGGTCAGAAGAAACCAGATACATTGAACACACACAGACACCCATGCCCCATACAAACACAACATACTGCACCTTATCAAAGACTTTAAAGTGTCTGAGATTTCACCCTATTTGAATGCTTAAAAACTGAGCCTGCTATAGTTTCAAGGATGCTGGCAGAAGACATGAGATTCCTGGGTCAGAGAAAAGAACTTTATTATTTATGGCACAGCAGACAACATAAGCTTCAGTGTTGCCATAGATTTATTTCCAAACCCCACCAAGTTCCGTGGGGTCTATATAAAGAGGACCAGGTAGATATGCACGCCATAGGTTTGTATTCCTGTTGAGGGGCCCCAAGCTTAAGAAGTTTCCGGTATTATAAAGGAGGCTGTTGGCAAACTTGCTTAAGGTTCACCTTGGAGGGAAACATCTTATTAAGATAGGTTAGGAAAAAACTTGCTTTCTCCTTTCTCAGAGGGATACACTGTCTCTCTCTTCTAAGGTAGTTTTCCATACAAACATTCTTAAAAAATTGTTGAAGACAAAGGCTGTCAATGTCTTCATTCAAATAATAAAAAAAATAAGAGATTCATGGAGAATTGCTTCCCAGCATTTATATAATGAAATTAATAGCATTAGAATATGATACATTCTGTGGATGAACTATAGGTATGCCACAGAGGAGGACACAACCACATCTGCTTTGGGGAGTCTAGGAATAAGGGAAGATACATTTTACCTTGCTGTGGAGGGAAGCAAAATCCAGACAAGGTAAACTTCAGATCAGGAGGACACTCCCTGCTGCTCTAGGACTGCCCTCTAGTTGGTGGAAAGCCTTCATCTCTCAGGCATTCAACTCTGGCGACTTTCTACAGAATGGGAGGGTGATCCATGATCCAAGCTTCCTTGGGCACTGTTGCCTTGGACGCAAATTCCAGGTACAGCACCAGGAGATCTGTTTCTCTTGGTAATCCTAAACATTTGTGCCACTACAAGTTTTCCTCATTTTAAAGCTTCCTTAATGGCTTTATTTGATGGGGTTAAGGGAACACTTTCTCTTGGGGTTGAGGAACAGAAGAATAGCTGTTGGTTTTGACAGTTTACTCCTCATTCCCTGTGGATTGCATGTTTATGACATGGAAGCCTGGCCTGAATAAATGGAATCATGGAAACAGAACTTTAGAACTAAAAGGTTCCTAGAGTCATCTAATTGGTACTTTCTTTTTAAAATTTCCCTAACTGCCTTCTTTCTCAAACATTTTGATTGCTTACTTTATGTGTTTCAAGCGGGGCATGCAAAAATGAAGAACAGCCTTTCTCCTTCAGTTGTTCACAGAATGGTGGAGATGAAGAGAAATATTCAGTCAATTACAACTTACAAGGATAAATTCTAAGACAGAAGAAACTGCAAGGTGCTGTGGTTAGCAAACCTGACTCAGATAAGGTTATCGTTAGTGAATTTTCAGAAGAGATAATTCTTAAATTGGGTCTTGAAGGGTGAGCATAGGGTATTTAGGAAAAGAACTGGTAGGAAGGAGGTGGTGTAAGTCACACCAATCAAGGGCTTTATATGCATGCTAAAGAGTCTGGATTTTATTCCAGTTGGTAACGGAGAACTTCTAAAGGAAGTTTATCAAGGAATGATATGACTAGATTTGCATTTTGGAATGATTACCTTGGCAGCAATTTGGAGAATAGATTGAAAGGAGAAAAGCTGGAGATGTAGAGGTCAATGAAGATATTGTTACTGTGACCTTAGCAGGAGATTGATGAGGCTCTGCCTAATATCATTAGCATACAGACAAAAGAAGTGCCTGGAGAACAGCAGGGAAATCAATAGTATTGGTGAAAGATGGGGAAAAGTGGGAGCGAGCAAGGATGCAAAAGTGACTTTCAGGTTTGTGGTTGGGCAACTGGGTAGATGTGCTGTTATAAAACAAGATCTGGAGAAAGAAACTTTGGTAAGAGTTGAGATTAATTCAAGTCTTGACATACTGTGACTTAATTATCTCTGGATCATTTATGTAGACATGATATCTGGATTTGGACCTATAGAGATGGGAACTCTATTCAGCTTTTTCATTGCTAGATCAGCATTTATTCCAATCTTCCATTTCTTTCTGTGGCCCCTTTTGAAGTCATGCTGCAGTGATGGACAGAATACTGCAAAGCATTTTGGGCTCTCTACTTCACTAAGCACATCTTTCTCATCTGAATGCTCATACACCTAATGTTAGTTCTTTCATGTAAATCTTTGCTTTATATTGAATGTGACTTGAAATTATTGTAAGGTTCACATCTTTATTTGAAAATCATTTAATTCAATGGTTCTATGTCATGAAAATGTTTTTCATCTTTTCTCTCTGTTGGAAGTGGTTTGATTGTTTGGCAAATGTGCATAGCATTCTCAGAACTCTATTCAGTTTGCACAGTCTGTTATACCTGGAAATTGTAGATTCATATGATAGAAAAATAGTTTCTCAATCTTTGTTACTACTTGCTGTTTGCAGAATTTGGTTTCTACATTATTTTTATTCAGCATGAATTATTTAAGAATAGGACATATCAATGAAACCAGTTTACACACTTACAAAAAGGAATGATTTTTGCTTTTCATTTCAAATTCACCCTTTGCTTCATGCTGCACAATTCAGCTTTTTAACAATTGTACCTTAATGTTACTGGTAACTTAGGGTCTACTTCATCCTTTGTATTATGCTGATTAGTGAGTACAGATTTATTATTTTCATCTTTTTGCAAACAGAGTGACTCTATATAGACATAGAAAAAGAATTTATTTCCATCAGAGAAATGAAACTTGATGCCTCAGTTTTGATTTTGAATCAAATAAAACGTAAGTCACAGTTCATAGAAAGTCAGGACTGACAAGGATTATTAAATCAAATTACCTCCATTTACATAAGAAAGATTGAGGAAATTTAAGCTTCTTCCCCAAGACCCCAGAATTAACTCTTTTATCTTACCTTATTTTATCATCTAATTTGGGTAAAATATCTCCTTTCTATCTGTTTCTGTGCCTTTTTGCAAATCGCACTAAGTATAGATCAAGTGGCCAATACATATGATGCCCAATTCTCACAAAGCACCAACCGTTAATACCTTTTATATTTGCTTTGGGCATAAGTCTAGCCACCATCTTCCCTCCTATTTCTCCCAAGTTTTAAAAAGCTTGAAAAGCTCCACTTATTTTCTGAAGGTTGGGAAATACTTGTTCTACACAGTTAAACAAGTCTTCTCTAAGACAGAATTTTCTCATCTGGATATATGAAACATCTCTCCATTTATTTAGTTTTTTATGTTTTAAATTTTTCTTCATCTAGGTCCTACATTTCCAGCTGTGTTTTCCCTAGGTTATTTATAATTATTATTGGAATAATTTGGGGGTCACATTTCAAAGTGGTTTTGCTAATATATGAGAAAACAATTGAGTTTTGTATTTTGATCTACCCCTCTTAAAACCTTATTTTATTACTTACTAAAATTGATACTATTGAATTTCTGAGATAGAAAATAGTGTTGTTTTGACTAGGTGTATTAGTTCGTTTTCATGCTGCTAATAAAGACTTACCCAAGACTGGGTAATTATAAAGAAAAAGAGGTTTAAGGCACTCATGGTTCCACATGGCTGGTGAGGCCTCCCAATCATGACTGAAGGCAAAGGAGGAGCAAAGGGACGTCTTACACGGTGGCAGGCAGGAAAGTGTTTGCAGGGGAATTGCCTTGCCTATTTTTTTTTTTTTTTTTTTTTTTTTTTTTTTTTGAGACAGTCTTGCTCTATCGCCCAGGCTGGAGTGCAGTGGCACAATCTTGGCTGACTGCAAGCTCCGTCTCCCAGGTTCACGCCATTCTCCTGCCTCAGCCTCCCGAGTAGTTGGGACTACAGGTGCCCGCCACCTCGCCCGGCTAATTTTTTGTATTTTCAGTAGAGACAGGGTTTCACCATGTTAGCCAGGATGGTCTCCATCTCCTGACCTTGTGATCCACCCACCTCGGCCTCCCAAAGTGCTGGGATTACAGGCGTGAGCCACCACGCCTGGCTGGGAATTGCCCTTTTGTAAAACCATCAGATCTTGTGAGACTCACTATCACCAGAACAGCACAGGAAAAACCTATCCACATAATTCAATTATCTCCTACCGGGTCCCTCCGGTGACATGTGGGGATTATTACAATTCAAGGTGAGATTTGGGTGAGGAATAGCACCAAACCATATCATGAGGAAAATTTGAGTTTTTCTTTACATTATAAATTTCTAGTCCAATGTTGTAGGGCAGCAATGGTAGTGGGAATACTTGCCTTTTCCCTGATGTTAATAGAAATGTTTCTAATGTTTCATGTATAGTATGTATCATATCTTCTCTGGGATTCTGATTGATACTTTTTATCAAGTAAAGGAAGATTTTTTTCCCCTAAGATTACCAGAGAGGAATTTTATTAAAATTTGAAGCAAGTGTTGGATTATATCATTTTGAGACAGTTGTTGAGTCATAGAATAATTATTTTGATTTTCTTTTTAAACCAATAATTAATTTAAAAATTTTTCAAGTGTTTAAATTTTTGTGATTATTTTATTGTTTTGTGTTTATTTTTGCTGCTCTGTACTACAGCATTTGGCCTGTATGATTTCTACTTTTTGATTTTGTTAACATAACTATGTGGTCAATATTTGTCAGTGTGAGCTTTTTGTTTGAAAGGAATAGGTATCCTCTGTTAGGTACAGGATTCTTTATATATATATGTTGATTAGATTAAGACAGTTAAATGCATTATTCAAATCTATTATACCCTTATTTAGTGTCTGCTTAACCTCTTGATTAGAGGTAGTTTCCCACTGTGTTTGTATATTTTACATCTTTCTGCATGTTTCTATTAAATTTTAATTTTATATTTTGAAGCCAATTACCAGGTTTATAAAATGCTTCTTAGTAAAAGCATATGTTTTGCCAGTGTGAAACACTTCTCTTCATTTATGTAATGAGTTTTATTTTAAATTATTCTTTATTTGGTGTTAATATTGCTGTATTTATTTTTATGAGAGAATTGACATTTTGAAATGGTAAGACCTCTTATTTAACAATGAACTATGCCTTTCCCTTTTTTCAAATTTTGCCTTGTGTTATTTAAAATAATTGTATAATTTTAAAATTTATGTATGGACCCATATATTACTTACTGATTTTTATTAAATGTTTATTAAATATTACTTGATACAAACTTTTATCATATAGAAATTACTGTTTCCAAAACTAAATATTTCTCCACATTTTCATTTCTAGTTGCTATTGCTAGACTTGGGAAAGACTGATTTTTGTTTATGTGTCTAGAATCCAACCAATTTATCAGATTATCTTAATTCATTAAGTATTTTTATTTTTTAACTAAAGTGTCTCTGGATTTCTAGGTATAAAATCATATAATAAAATGCAAGAGAGAGCTTTATAAAATTCTGTGTTTTTGAGAATTAATTTTAATGTCATTGATTTTTTAGAACCTTACAGAAAATGAATAATTATAAGACATTTTTATCCAATTCCTAATTTTAATTGATTTTATTATTCTATCATTTATAATTTAGTAAATAGTTTTAATTATATTTCAACTTTTCTTTCTATTCCTTTTATTACGAGTGATTGTTTACTTTTTTTAACTAATGCTAAAATAAATTTTATTAACAGACTTACTGATTTTGAAATGTCCCTTGCATTTCTGGAATAACTTGGTCTTAATGTATTGTTTTTGTGCCATGTAGCTAGGTTCTTTTTGCTAATATTTTATTTACAACGTTTATTTCTACATCATGAGTTTATATTAAAATGTTTATTTCTATATCTAGAAAGTTCATAAGTATCTTTTTAATATCTTTTTTACTTATTAATTTTTTTACTATATTTAACAACTTTTGGTTGTTAAAGTACCTGAGTTCATAAAATAAATTTGGAAGTTTTTTTTTTTAATTTATACTTTAAGTTCTGGGTTACATGTGCAGAACGTGCAGGTTTGTTACATAGGTATACATGTGCCATGGTGGTTTGCTGCACCCATCAACCCGTCATCTACATTAGGTATTTCTCCGAATGCTATCCCTCCTCTAGCCCCCCAACCCCCAATGGCCCCGGTGTGTG